CCCCCCTCACCTTACTCTACCTCCATCTGTTAATCTGAATACTTCCTTGGAGGAAATCTCCCTTTTCTCCACACTGGGACATGTTGGAGGTGGCTCAGCAGAACTGGCAGCTGATGCCTGTTTCTGCTAAACTCCATTTCCAGTGGCGCCTTGGCCCTGCAGAAGCTCATAACTTGTCCAGGTTTAGCTTGGCCAGTAGCTGTTCTTGACCTCCCTCTCAATACCGTACCTTGAAGCAGTTGGCTTGTTCTTCTCACAGCTTCTGATCTTACACCTGGAGCTCGTTGTTACCAGCCTGGCAGTACCTCCTCTTCCCGCTACCTGCATTCCTGCAGCTGATGTGGGATTTGTGCCCAAGCAGTACAATCTCCTATTGCCACCCATTTCTCTAAGACTGGAACTATTTTTCCAGATGTTTTTCCCCAAGACCCTAGCCTATCTGGAGTGAGGTTCCCTAATTGTGGTTGGGCAGGATTTGGTGATCAGAAGCTCTGTAATGTAGGAGGTAGATTTATGTCCTCAGGACAGCCTCTAGTTCTTGTTCCTAGGCCCACAGCTATTGTCCACAGAGCCCTAAATTATCTGCAGAGAAGCAGAGCTTCACCAAAAAGCTGTCTTGGTGTCTGTTGTGCATTAAGGCATCTGAAACACAAACTGAAAACAGTGGTGTTGTGCTCGGGTTAGTCTGGTGTGGGGTGGGTCCCCATGGAAAGATAAGGAGAAAAAATGTCGTTGTGGGCAAAGCTACTAGACTTAGACAAAAGTCTCGTAAGAGACTTTAAAATTATGTTTTAAGAGAAGAATATTTTAAGCATACAGATGTGTGGTCTGGGTCTGCCAACAGCTCAGATAATAACTTAATGTTTTAATAAGGTGTACAGGGTCCTTTGTATCACTTGATACTGATTGTCAACTCATGCTTTTGTGCTCTGAAGGGTACCTACAACCTTAAAAATGATGATGAGCAAGATTCTTCTCAAAGCAACAGATTAGTCCAGGATAACTTTCACTGGCTGAAACCTTTCTACTCTGAGAGCAACAGTTTCCTTGAGATCAAGGCCTGGAATGATGTGATGCCCTGTGATCAAGAACAAGAAGTGCAAGTGGATTATATCCTTGACCGGAATAAACTCAGCTCTGAAGCAGATCACATTGATTTCTACTACTTGGTAAGCACAGAAGACAGATGAATCTCACGGCAAGATTATGCTTACTGGTATTTTATCCTTTTCATACAGCACATAGATACAACATACATAGAAAGGGCAAAATACTCCCAGGCCAGTATGAGTCAGTTTGTGAGTTCTGTTGTGCCCAAATCTCCTGTTCTCCAGTTCCTGGACCTGCTCCTAGCCCCAGCCCAAGAGTGCCTTGACCTAAGCTTAGGTGATAGATGCCTGTCATCCACCCTACTTTCTACTATGTTCCCAAGGGTGGCAGTGGAGGGCTAGCCTTCTGTCCAGCAGCTATGCCCCAGACTTCCACCTGTGTCTGGGGCAATCTGTCTGTGAACTGCTGCTCTTTGGGGCAGCTGACCTCCCCTTGTCTGTGTATCTATAGGAAAAGGCTTGAAATTGCACAGGGCCTTGGTGCACTCCAGGAGTATGTAATTGTGTTTTGATGAAGTCCACGTTCAGGGAGTCCAAAGCAAGAGTGTGACTACAGCCTAGCTGAGAGGTTATGAGTATCTTCGTTACTGAACTGGGCTCATTTGCATGGTCAAAACGTACTGTATCCTAGCAATGTGAAGATCAGAGTTCACTAGGGCTAAGGAGCAGCTGCTCGTAGCTTCACACATACCTCTGGTTTTCCAAGCAATCACATATTCTCCTTGCCTAACCAACACCTCTCAAGACCCTTCCCAGCTATGCTGTCACCATCTCTGCTGCAGAGTTCTTTAGGTCATGTCCTGCCAGAGGAGCTTCTGTGACAGCATCTCTCAGGCTTCCTTCTCCCTCTCTTGTTCTTTTCTTACTCTCCTCATGCTGTCAGAATTCAGGCCCTTGAATGGCTCTTTTCTTTGCTGTTCAGGTGATATCAAAAGGCAAGATCCTTTCCAGTGGAGAGAAGCAGGTGCCAATTATCCAGCATGAGAGTGAGTAGAAACGTATGAAGTGTCTCGTAACACACCTCAGAAAACTGTGACAGCTCTCCAGTGACAATGTCTGCAGGTGTTATCCTTACCCACAGGTGGGAGCTATTGAACTGAGTTCTTAGTGGTGACCAACCTCCTTAGATCAACTCTCCTCTCATATCAGTTCGGTGACTGTCCTCCTGCCTTGTCTAATTGATCTAATATCCAACCTTATGACTTTGCTGCTAGCTTGTACTTTTGGAGAAGATATACATTTTTTGGTAGCTTGCCTGTTTATCCAAGGTGCAGTAGGGAAGAGGCGTATTTTTGCCAAACTTGAGCCAAAGGAGTGGCTAATATCCTGGGTTTTTTGTTAATCTGTGACTGTGTGGGATATTCTTATCTGCAGGTAGAAATTATTATATTCCCTCTTTTGATTTTTATTGTGTGTCCTATCCCAAGGAGCTGTTTAATTTGAATGCTTTTCCTCTCTTCCTTGCTGCTGTCTTGTACAGAGCTGCAGGGCTCCTTCTCCTTGACTTTGACTACTAGCAATGACTTCTTGCCTGACATTCAGCTCCTACTGTACTCAGTCTTCTTGGATGGAGAGGTGGTGGCTGATGTGGAAGAGTTTCAAGTAGAAAAGTGCTTTAAACACAAGGTGAGTAGAAACACAAGGAGTGTGACAGCATCATTGATGTGCTCTGTCCTACTGCGGTTCCTGGGCCTGTTTTATCCCCAGCCAAGTGGTGTAAGCTGGATACACACCAAACCAGATGCCCAGTATTTTTGGCTGGGAAACAAAACAAGTATCCTCCTTCTTCCCTGAATTCCTAGTCCTGCCTTCCACAATACTGACTGGCAAGCCTTTCCCAAGGAGTAAACCAGGCCCCCTTGAACTCTGTTTTCTCCCCCCATTCTGTATGACTGATCTCCCTGGGGTAGCTCTGGGTCAGAGGGTGGTGGATGTGCAGTGGCGGGGGAATTCTGGCTGGGCTGCACACACTGCAGCCCCTCTAATCTTCCCAGTGGGTTTTCAAGAGGGTCTGTCTCAGCATCTCAGCCTCCTTCCCTACCTCACTCTCTGTCTTTCGCTCTGCTGCCCAGACATCTAAGAGTCACAGGGTCCCACTCTCCAAAGCTAAGCCCCCTGACCTGACCTTCTTTTGCAGGTGTCACTGGACTTCTCACGCAAGGAGGAAGTCCCCGGATCGACAGTCAGCCTGGACCTCAAGGCTGCTCCAGGGTCCCTGTGCTCTGTCCAAGCTGTTGACAAGAGCGTCCTCCTGAAGTACAACAATACCCTAACAGCAGACACAGTGAGTGCAGCCTGCTGTGACCAACCCCCTCATTTCTGCCTGCTTTCTGTCTCCATGCACGGGCGGGAGGAAGCCCATAGTCCCTCCCAGGACATGGCTGCAGTGTTAGGTGGCTGCCCTGGCATTCCCCCTCCTCCGCCTTTTCTGAGGAATATGGTCATCATGTCCCTCGTGCATCAGCCCTGCACTGTGGGCCTCTGCCTGGAGGGTGGTGGATGCTGCACAGCACTGCCGGGCTAGGCGGGGAAAGCAGCTTGGAAGAGATGCTGGTGCTTTCCGCTTGGAGGGAGAGTGTTTAGCAGCTTTCCTCACATCCACTTGTCTCTCTGCTCTTCCATCTTCCACCAGGCAGTGAGGCTAAACCTTTGAAACAGAACTTTGCTTCGGTAGGGTCTTCCTATCCCTCTGCCCCAAATATTGCTGAATTATAACCATGGGACAGATCAGGCTGAGGACCTCGTCAGTTCTTTAGAAAACAGTATCTAGGGGACAGCACCCAGTGGCTCGTGAACAGTGGTCAGGATTTTGTCAGCACCCAAGTGCATTCCGAGAATCTGGAAGAGTTGAAGGAATTTACCTTAAAGCAGCTGTGTGTTTCAGAGGAATGAATTTAAGACTTAGAACAAAAATACTGCCAGAATTGAAAATCTTAGCATAATTCCACAATGTATACCAGACATAATACATATGTATATGCCTCATGCAAAGTTGTAAGTTAAGTTATAGAGGTCAGACAAATAAGCATCTCCAAATCCAGGGGGACTTTCTGCACCTGTAGATAGGACCTGCAGTGTGATCCTGGTGTTTCATTTTACAGGAATATTGTTCTAGCGCAGAGCACTTACATCGTCTACTAGCAGGTATATAAAGTAGTAATCATGAAATATGTAAGTCAGATGTACCAATGCCTTGTGCTCAAATGGAATCGTGTGTTAATCTTGCACCTTAGAGTTAAAAAGCTTGAACTGTCTGGGGAAAGCCTGCAGACTAAAAGTTACTTGCCTACATCTGCTCCTTGGGCTTCATGTCCTTTAGTATAAGCCGGGCCAATGCAAACTTCCTCAACTGCAAAGTATAATAGAGGGCTACAATCCAAATATTTAACACATGCACATGCTCATTGGTCAGTTCCTTACAAAGACCTCTGTTTTTCCATTGCAGCTGTATAATAAGGTCTTTGATGACATCTTTACAATCGGAGGCCGAGGGTTCCCTTATCGCTTGGAAGACTTTGAGCCATACCCTTGTCTGCCTCAGGAGCCCAGTCTCCACAAAAAGACTCAGATGGGAGCACCATGGTACCAAAGTGATGCTGATGTCTTTAATCTGTTTAAGGTGAGTGTCTACAGTTCTGCTAAACTTTTTCTGAGCCAGAGATTCCAGTATGCTACCCTGAATGCCTACAAGAATATACTCTTAGGAAACCTCAGCTGCCCTGACTTTCATTGCTACAAGCCATCTATGCCTTGTTCTTCAGTGCACTCACACTCATTTGGGGACTATGGGGAAAGATGAAACTTATGAGTAAGCAAAATGCAAACCACATGATTAGAGAAAGACAGTGTAAAAATGAACAAACTTAGTTTAGGCTACCATATCTACAAAGAGGGGGTGGCAAAAATATCCCAATAAGACCTGAGCACCTCACCATATTTTGACCAAACACCACTTGGCGATTGTCTTATTTGCAAACTTCTTTGTGTTTCACTGAGTCTCTTCTTCTCCTCAAAGTATTTTTAATAAAAAGAAGTCCTTCACAATTTGGCTCTATAACTAAATGTCAAGACAAATGTCAAAATAAGCTAATCTGCTAACAAGCACAATAGCCTGGAAGAGATTAACGTGCCTGCTAACTGAAACCCAAGAAGTGCTGCTTCTGACAGAATGCTGTTTAAAGAAACATATGCAAGTAAAAGCACCTCAAAACAGGAGAAGAAGGTAACAACACACGGAAAACAACCCAAATTGAGTTGCATGGACTTCTCAGGCTGATGGAACTCTACCTCACAAATACAGACCTGATTCCCCCCAAAGGCATGGTACTTGCTGCCTTCTAGCTGCCTACTATGTCAGATGTAAAGGAGATCCCACTACACCTCAGTTATTAGTGATCCTGTTAGAGATGACTGTCCTGTGGCATATGACTAAGTCCACAGGCACATACAGCCCTCGCAGAAAGGGTGAGGGCCCATATTTTCATGAAGGGATTTGGCACTTCAAGAAAGTTCTCAGTGACTCGCAGACCATTAAGTCAAAGCAATGATTGCTCACAGGATCCAATGCATTCTTCCAGTGTGATTGCTGCCGCCTTCTCAGTCCATGCACATGAGGGTACGTTCAATCCAATATTTTCACCTTGTGAAGCACAAGGCCCCGAGTAAGTCTCACTCAGACAAAAGCAGAATCCATACTAAGCTGTGACCAAGTCACCTATCAGTTTTCTAGGCTAGGACTGGTACTAACTTGTGTAAGAACAGTTTTGTGTGAACAGCCAGTGAAATCTTTCCATTCTAAAATTATGAAAATATTTAAAGTTTAGAATTTACTTCTCTTAAGTTTTTTCATGGAGTATATGGCTTTTGGCTCATTGTTAGGGTCAGGCATATGAAGGACATATCTAGTTGAAACTTACTTTTATGAGAAGTAATAATTGGCCCAAGTATTCCTCAGATGCTGGTTTCTGTTCCTCATGCACTGCCCAGAGTCTGAGCATGTATGCTTATGCATATGTATATAAGCAAGCAGCATTTTAAAGTGTTTCAGCTACCACCAGCCCCTTTTACGATACCTGCTATCGTGAGATATTTCTAACAGTCCTTGTTCCTTTTTATTTATCATTGATTTACTGTCTTCACTGTTTTCCCAGAAATTGCGCATGAAAATATTAACCAATACTAGAATCAAGAAACCCGTTTCCTGTATGCTACCGGGCTTTGAGAAAAAGATGTATTCTAGAAAAGACAATGTTGTTGGTAAGGAACGAACACACCCATCTCCTTGTCTGAAGGGGCTCTTCTCTCCCAGTTCTGGCCAGCCTGCAGCTGAGGTGGCTGACTCCCATCTTGCTGTGCTTCTTGTCTTGTGTCCAGTTCAATGGACCTGATTTATAAATCACAGATAAAAGCTCAAATCTCTGTGCTTTATTTGCTGTCCCTGTGTTCTGCGCTTTCCACAGAAAATGTAGTATGCTCTCCACCAGCACTTTTCACAGATTATTTAAAGGAGTGCGACTCCATTTGAGCATGCTGTCTCCCCCTGGATCCGGACCAAACTTTCTGGATCTGTCTGAGCCTCAGGCTAAACTTCACCCAACTCTGTCTCCCTAAAGCTGTGTGCCCCAAAGCTACACACACTGTGTCAGATACTCACTGAAATGCCAACCCAATCCACTCTTGTTGTGTGTCACAAGGCATTTATAGTTTGTGTTAGATTGCCTGTGAATGAAGAATAATTTCACCTGTAGCTATATATCCTGTTTTCTAAGGTATCACTTGTTTTCCAGCATATGATCATGTTGTCCATGGTGATGCTGCACCGCTCCCTGATGACAAGGAGAAGCCAAAACCACGGACACTTTTCCCAGAGACCTGGATTTGGGATTTGGTCTCTGTCGGGTTGGTAACAGCTTCTACCTGACTTCCCCAGAGAGACGCCTGAAAACTTCTGCCTGCTTCTGAATAAGTTCTCCTCTCTCCCTTCCTACTCTAGGGACGATGGGCAAGTGTCTCTCCAAGTTGCTGTACCTGACACTATCACAGAATGGAACGCCAACACCTTCTGTGTTTCTGATACTGGCTTTGGGCTGTCACCTCTGACCAGTATTAGGGTCTTCCAGCCTTTCTTTGTGGATCTGTCACTGCCGTACTCTGTGATCCAAGGAGAGACTTTCAGTCTAAAAGCCACTGTCTTCAACTACCTCAAGGACTGTATCCAGGTGAGTATTGCCCCAACTACACATCCTCTGTCAGAGCTAAAACTTGAGCCCAAAAGCAAGCTATGAGCTTCTCAGGAACCCTAGGTACTGGCATCTGGACCACAAAGCAGAGCCTTGCACTTCATGACCCATGGTATTTGCTCCTTTGTTCACTGCCTGTTATTAACTCTATGCCAACGTGTGCTTGTACAACCCTACAACACTCAGGTACGTGCCACCCTCACAGAGACCCCAGAACTAAAGGTGGATGCCTGCCCAGGCTGCCAGTTCACCAGCTGCCTCTGTGCTAATGAAGCGAAAACCTTCGTGTGGAACGTGACAGCCACCAGGCTGGGTGAGGTTGAGCGGAGGGACGCGTGGCAGTTAGGGGGAGGAGGGGTGGAATTTGCCTGCCTCTGCATGTCTGGTCCGGATGCTCAATGCTCTTACGTACAGCTATCTGCTGCAAGTGGTCAGCAACGTGCCCCTGTGCTCCCTGCAGGTAAAGTGAACATCACTGTGAGCGGCGAGGCAGAAGATTCACACGACCTGTGCGATAACAGGATTGCTGTGACACCTTTGCAAGGAGGGAGAGACACGGTGATAAAACCTCTGCTTGTGAAGGTTAGTCACACCTCAAGGTGGAGAACACGTGGGGACAGTAGGTGGTTTAGCCCCTTCCTCTTGGAAGCAGACAGGCCTGCTGAGGCTTGGTGTCTGCCTTTCCTGCCTTCCCTACTCTGAACTACTCTTTCTCCATCGGCAGCCAGGAGGTGTCCTACAAGAGAAGACACAAAACGCCTTTCTCTGTGCTGCAGGTATGGGATAAATATCCCTGACTGCTACTGGTTGTGGGAGCAGGATGGAAGGGACAGGGCTACTGCAAATACCCAGGGGTGGGGGGAATTTGTCAAAGAGCAAGCACTGGTGGCACCATCCTTGCCTGGGAGAACCACCACTATTTTTTGTTCATGTTTGCCTTCCACTTGGCAAAGTTTCCTGTATTGAGGCATTTGGTTGAGAGTCAGTGTCACACTGAGCCTCACCTGGGTCTTCTTGGGATGTTACATTTGTGTGTGGTGCTTCTTCCATGGGATAAATTTCTGGGTTCTGCCTTCCTCAGATAGCACTGTCTCTGAAGAGTTCTCCCTGACTCTGCCTGCAGAAGTGCTGGAGGGATCTGGCCGAGCCACTTTCGCTGTGATTGGTGAGAAAGGCTTTCCTTGCTCTTAGGTCCCCAGTGGGGAGAACTTGCACAATGCTTTGGCCTTAAAGATGCATCAACCCAGTTCTTCATCAGATAAACTGTAAAGGGTGTTATGTTGGCCTCAGAAATGTCATCAAGTGATCTTTTCAATATTTGTTCCTCTCCTAAGGAATGATCCTGGGTGATCCCCAAGTGGCTGGAGGAGAAGGCACAAAACGGATTATCTCCTCTGATGTCTGTCACTGCCATCCACCTAAGTGAACCAAACCATCCCTACAGATTTCCACCTAGTTTGCCTCTGTAATTCTTACCCTTCTTGATAACTACTGGGGAATGACAGTTGTCTTCAGACCCCCCCCAAACTTTGCATTCCCCCTCTCCTTCCAGAATCACGCTGTCTTCCCTTCCTGTGCTGGCCTAATCTAGGAAGGGTCAGCAGAAGTATTAACTGTCTCTGTTCACTGAGGGGCTGGCTCTTTTCCAGGATCCCAGTAGAGTTTAGAGAAGGCAGCAGTCCTTTCATTTCATACTGATGAATGTCTGTGTTTTTTTCTTTCTCCTGCCCCTTCACCTCAAACTTAAGGGGACATCATGGGCCCAGCACTTCAAAATTTAGACAGTCTGCTAGCGATGCCCTTTGGCTGTGGTGAACAGAACATGGTTCAGTTTGCACCAAACATCTTCATACTTCAGTACTTGAATAAGACTAAACAACTGGACCCAGAAATTGAAGATAAAGCACTGAATTTCCTGAGAACAGGTAAAGATTGTCCTTCCTTCTGCTGCTTCTGGGGCACTGGTCTGGTGGGGAGGTGCAAGGCAGGAGTGGGAGCACTGCCAGAGCTGTGACAAAGGAAGGTATTGCAGAGAATAAGGGAAATGTCTCATGGAAGGAAAAGCATGTTTCTGAAGAAGCAGGACTTCTGTCTCTGCCTGTTATTGAGGTACCAAGCCTGCTTTTTTGAGAAAGGTGTGGGTAATTAATGATTTCCATCATTATGTGATGCCTGTGGTTTGTTCCTTTATCAGTCTGAGGCAGGTGGAAGTCCCTTGTGGAAACAGAGCATCAGCTGCTATTAACTGGAATAAGGAGTGGCCTTTGGGGTTATCTAGGAGTTTGGTAGCTTAGTGCTTCCTCATGTTTTAGGACACATATTGTAGGGGCATGTCAGCTCTGTCCAATAGGATCTGAATTTAATACAGTGCCAGTGTCTGTGTCTCATGTTGCAATGTGCCTGCCACTCTTCTTATCCTACTATGCTGCAAGCTCAGCAGCCTCCCATGGATAGGATTTTTCTCCCTTTCCTTCCCCCTTTCTCTCTGGTACTGCAAGTTGAGACAGACATCTGGGAGAGGGGGGTCTACCCAAGAGAATGGCGGCAGTAGAAAGGCAAGGTGGAGGGTAAACAGTGAGGCTGTGTGGAGGGTGGAGGAAGAGCAAAAAGATGCAGACAGCATTCTGCCCTCAGAGCTTAAAGGCATGGCCTTGCCACTTTCTCTCCATCCCATAAAAACTGCTTTCTTGAGACCCAACAGGGCTAGGAGAAGTGCTGAAAAACAAACAGGACTTCATATTGGGTCCCCTCTAGGAAAAGTGTTCCTCCTCACTCCTACAGCTCTTTTTATTCACAGCAAGGTGCCCACGAGGGTTCCCTGGGTCATGGGACATGAGGCAGCTGAGCACGACACCATACTGTGAACCATCAGGGCAGGTACCCACAGTACTTGCTCCTCACAGCTCCAGTAATGTGGAGCAGCCACTTGGCGCCCTTCAGTGATGCTGTGCAACAGCTTCTTGCCATGGTGATGCTGTGGGATGCACGGGGAATTGTGGGGTGGTAGGTTTGCCTCAGTGTCTCTGACTGTAGGGCCTGGTGAGGTCTCTTGCTGTGAAGCCTTCTTCCCACAGCAAGGATACAGTTTGAGATGCTACAGGCCCTCGCACTGAGAGTCATGTCCTGGCACCCGTCTTCATAGGTTACCAGCGTCAGCTGTTCTTCAAACACGATGATGGTTCCTACAGCACCTTTGGGAAAGCTGACAACGAGAGCAACACCTGGTGAGTGACCAGCGTTGGTACTGTCACCCCAAACCCATTGTCCTTGCTGGTTCAGCTCCCGGCTGTGACACGGGATTCCTTCATGCTCTGCTCACAGGCTGACAGCTTTTGTAGCCAGGTCCTTTGGACAAGCCAGCTCTCACATTTACATCGACAAAAATCATGTGCACAGCGCTCTGCTCTGGCTGCAGAAGCACCAGCTGCCCAGTGGCTGCTTCCAGAGCGTGGGGAAACTCTTCAACAATGACTTAAAGGTATGGTTGCCAGACGTGGGAGTGTGAGTGGGAGGAACACACTGTGGGGCATAGGGTTGCTTCCCCAGGCTCTTCGGCTCTGCACGATAGCGCAAAGCAATGTCCCCAATGCCTAGTGTGGCCAAGGCAACTTCTCAGAGCAGCTTGAAAAAAGCATGGCCTGAACCAGCAGGCATTTCCTCCACGTGAGGTTTTAATCATTGCTAGGTTTTCTTCATTTTCACTCTAGCCAAAAGGCACCATAGCTAATTGTGCCAACATACTTCAAGGGCACAGGGAGAAATATTTTTATATTTTAGCACTTGCCTAGAATACCCTGGGTTCTCCCTCTTTTCGTACCTTACAACACACAATACTCTCCAGATAGGCCTGATTATGTGCTCCAATACAGGAGTATCTGAAGACACAGTTGTCCCTCCACTGCCCCCCAATAGTATGACTTCTTCTGAAGTCTGGCATGCCCAGAATTGATCCCTGCAGTGTAGCTGGAAATGCACCAAACTCTTGGTGAACATGCCCCAGTGCTCAAGTACCAAACAGTGTGCATGCAGTATGGCAATACGTTTTTGAGTAGCTTTTGCCCCCCACTCCCCTTACACTTCAAAGTTTCTGCTATTTAACATGAACACTGCTTTTCAGCATCTTAGCCCAAATTTCCCTGCTCATTTTAGATGTAGTCTGAGGGTGTAAGCAGAACGTCCCCAAGAATGAATGTTCTATATTGGGAAAAGTGGCTCCCTGAGAGCCTGTTTACCCATATTAACCTCTAGCTTCTCACAGTTGGCTGAATTGTACGTAAACTTGCATTTCTTCTTGTGTGCAAAACCTGCATCATAAAAACTTTGTTCGAGTGTCCAATTGTAACGTATTTAATAAAATAAATAGCTTAACAGTTTGCTTCATGTCCTTCTATGAGAAGGCACGCCTAGGCTGTATGGCTCTGAGGCTGCTCTCAACACCAGATTTTCACGATATTCGGTAAGTGAGCCTGGAGTGCTTTCCTTTGGTCCCCACATGTCCAGGAATTCCCAGAGGCATGCTGCTGTACTCTCTCAGATATGCCATCCATAGGCAGTTCCAGTGGCGACACAATGACAGGCAAGCAGTGGTTGGTTTTGTCTCTTTCTGATGTTTGTGTGATTTGCAGGGTGGTGTGGATGATACAATCTCACTAACAGCCTATATCACTGCTGCACTGGTAGAGCTCCATCTGGAGAAGAATGTAAGTCACAACCGAGGTCTTGCAGGGCTTGGGAATTGTTCCACCCTTCATTCCTCCTCAGGTCTGTGGTTTCAGGGAGTACCCAGCTTGAGCTGGTGAAAGCTTCTGTCATGTCCCACCTTCGTACACAATAAGCTCCATAGAAAATTTTTAACTTGGTAAAGAGTTCTTAATATAAACGGCCTAATTTGCAGCAAAGTAGACCATCTGCAATTCCCAGCTGATTTCAGGGGAAACAATTGTCTCTGAAAATGGCTCTGGACTTACAGAGAAAGGCAATAGTTTTTATTAAACTGACCAATATAGCTAAAGGAGAAAAAAACAGACAAACTTTCAGGTATGCAACCCTCCCTCCTTCAGACCTGAAATAAAAGCAGTGATCTCCAAGCCAAGTTTCGAATATTGTAGCCGCAATGGGCTGATATTCCAGCCTTACAGTTCTGAAAACAATGCTGTACCCCCTCGGGAGCTGAGATCCACAGAATGTAGGTCTGACAGTTCTGAGCCAGCACATTACCAGACACTTCTTACAGCTGTGTTCTCCAGTGTATTAACAATCCCCCATCCTGGTGGTATGTCCAGTCACATCTTTGTTTTCAACCCACAGTGAGTAATGCTTTGTCCACTCCACGTTCCACAGTCCTGAAAGAGATGCTAGCACTGAAATATATTAAGGATGTAGCTGGGATACTTGAGGGTTGGGGGTAGATTTTCACAACAGAAAGTGGTCAGAGGGAAATCACTGGGTTTGGATTCCTTTCTCAGGACACCATGCTGGATAATGCCTTACATTGCCTCAAGAATGTATCACTTGATAAGACAAACCTTTATGTCAAGGCCTTGATGGCTTACGTCTTCACACTGACCAAGGACATGGAGATGAGAGAGCAGCTCCTGGATATGCTAGAGAAGGAAACCGGTAGGTTGTTGCTGTTTAGAAGATTTCAGGTTCTAGAGATAATGACTGTGTTTAAGACCTGATATCTGCAGGATTTAATTGCAGTGGTTTGGGAAATTTAATTATTCTCAGATCAGCTTTTGTGTCAGGAAATGGTAATTTATTGAAGCTGTGAAAGTCTCTATTTTACTCAGACCCAGAAAACAATTTCTAATGAAAAGCAGCAAAGGTGATCCATGCTTAATTTGTGTGGTCAAAGTACTCGCTTGTGCTGTGGTGCTCCCATCATCCTTCAGCGATTCATACATAGTACAAGAGGTCTTGCAGAGGAAACTTGCCTTACCATGTCTATCCAGCTTCTGGTCAGGGCATTTTCTTGCAGAATTCAAACCTTTTGACTGCTTCCCCTTTGCTGCTCAGGGCCCTTGGTGGATGCACCTTTTTTGTTGTGTTGCTGACCTTGGTTCTTCCTTTTGTCTCTTTAATGTGGAAAGCAAAAATTATGGATTTCTATCCTGAATGAAGATGCCAGGTGGGGATTTCAAAGCACCTAAAGCCTATGGTTGAACAGTTGGTAACAATATTACCTGATTTGACTTAAGTAAGTTCTTTTCCACATCTGTTCATCTGGCAGTATGGTGAACTACACTGGGGACTGAAAAATAACCCAGAGGAATAAAGGGAGAGAGGATTTTTCAGCCTGACCAGCTGCCCGTGCAGGTCACTGCACAGTCACTCAGCTGGCTTCACAGGGTGGCTAGTGGGCAAACTGGCAGAAGTAGAACTGCCACACTGAGTACAATACGTTTTCAGAGCTACCTCTGAGAAAGTACATATGGATCAAGCGACTGGAGAACAGCCTTAGTGAAATCCAGTCAGTCGGAGGCTTCAAAATTACCAGACACTTTGGAAAATGTCTCCTCAAGGTCCTAGGGCATGGAGCACTACTAACGGTGATAGTGATAGTTTTCTTTGGCTCTTGCTTCCACTGCTAGTAGTTAGCAATGACTTGGCAAGAGCAATGTGAGGGAAAAGTGTTGTCCTACATGTTAAAATGTGTCTGTGTTCTGCCAGCTGAGTCTAAGGATGTGAATGCCAGCTGCACCCAGTTTACCTGTTGGAGAATCTCTGCCCCAGAGGATTATTTTCTGCTGGCTAGAGACACTTTCCTTGGCCTGGTGGCTGGGATTCTGTTAGCCTCATTAACAGGATTACAGCTGGATCTCAAACAGGAGTTTGGTGCATTTTAAAGAATCGAGGTTAACCTGTAGATCATTCGCAGCTCCAGGACACCTTTCTACCACTTCATGAAAAAACTGTTCTGCTTATGTCACCTTGGAAGTAACAAATCACAAAACCCTCATGCAGAAATCTTCCACTGTGCTAAAGATAATGAAGTAACACCAGACCATAGAATTCCTGAGCTAAATTCTGAAGTCTTTATGCTGGTTTTCTGCAAACGAGTGATTTTGTGATTCTTTTTTCGAAAGTGAAGGTTTGTTCTGAAAACTGACTTGAATTTAAAAGCATTTCAGGTTTTCACATTTGTACCATTGCAGAAGATGTCTACACTGGCACAATTAAGCCAAATTCTTAGCTGAGTTTTGGTTTAGCCCCCTTCAGAAAAAAAACCATTCAACTAGTCTCAGATGCATTCAGTGCCTGTGAGCTTGGACAATAGGTGGGAGCCCAGGACTAGCTTAAATTGTCCTTGCCTATATACTGCAGTGAGGATGCCAACAAAATAAGTTGGGTATTCTTGCTCCCCTAATAGCCTGCCATCATTTATCACTCAAAGAGTGAACAATTCTTGTACAATAGATACAACTGACTTGAAACGAGTCCTAAAGATTTTCAGCACAGTCAGCTCTGTTAGACTATCCTAGGTAAATGCAGGGACAGCAAAAATCCTGTAGCTTGGGGACATAGCTTTGAATATACACAGAGCTGAATAAGACTGGGACTGTACGTTGAACAAAAAGCCTCTGTTCAAAGTCAGTTTCTAGGGGAACTGTTTTCTAGAGGAACTGGTTGAGGATTTGTGACCTGGAACTCTATGTGCTTTCCAAGGAAGAAATGGAACCTATCATAGGTGGCTGGCCCTTCAGAGTACAAAAACAACAGGAGGGACTGGCTTCTGTGCTTTGAGGTGCACCAGAAAGGCACATGCATTTCTGAGGGTCTACAGGAAACTGCCAGTCCTCAAAGGGTACCAGGGCTGGAGAAGCTGATGTTCACAGAGATCTACTCTTCTTCTCTTCCATGTTTCCTCCCCCATCAGCAGAGCTCCTGACACCCCATTCCAGTAGGGGAGAATCTTCTTTGATTGAGACAGTAGCCTACATCCTCCTGGCTCACGTCTCCAAACCAGACTTGGCACCCAATGAAGCCTCAGTGAGCAAGCTCGTGCGCTGGCTCAGTAGCCAAAGAAATGCCTTTGGCGGATTTGCTTCCACACAGGTAACAAACCAAGGAAAGTCATGGGGGAAGGAGAGAGCTACTGTGCTTGGAGTGATGTGCACGTCTCTCATGTGCATATCACTCTAGATCCATCCTCTGCAGACAGGCATACATGACCCCTGATGGTGGGAAGGGGAATGCTATGGGAAATTATTTTTCTGTGTGGTGTAACTGGGATTACCCAGGGCCTGGGACTGCTAACCCCAGGGCTCAGAAGCCACCCTTTCCAGGTAACAGAAGTCATCCTGCTACCTGTGGCATAGGCATTTAGTGGCATGGAACCTGCTTGTGTCCGAGTGTGAATCAGAGCCATGAGGAGTGTGGTTCTGCCGGCAGTGCCTGATCTAGTGTGCTGAATCTTGTACTGCATGGCTCCACAGTAAAGTGGCTCTCTACCTTTAGGACACAGTTGTTAGCCTGCAGGCCCTCGCTCAGTATGCAGCCCTGATTCCTCAGGAGATTGGAGATGTAAAGGTGACCGTGAAAAGCAAGGAGGCTTCTCCACTGGAGTTCCACGTGCACACAAAGAACAAGTTGGTCCTGCATCAGGCATCTCTCCTTGCAGTCCCAGGGATATACACAGTGCAGGCGACTGGCAGTGGCTGTGTTTATGTACAGGTGAGCATACATAAGGAACAGAACGGTCAGATTTTGCCACTGACTATTCAAGTGAGGTTTGGCTCTAAGTAGGCACTATAGCCCCAAGTTCTGAATAGGATTTGGCTTTCTAGGCAGAATCCTGTCAAGCTTGAAGGAGCTCAGGTATACTCTGCTGACATGGTTTTATTGCAGCCATCTATGCTATCTTCTTCTCAGAAATGTCTCAGCTCTCAGTTAAGAGATCAGTAAATCTGAAGGCAGGAGTGATGAGATAGAGAACAGTACCTGCTTCTGTATCGAACATATGTTGCTGATATCACTGCTTCAGGACCTGAGCACTGTTTATCTTCTGACATAATATTTTTTGGGTTGTTATCACATTCAGAGATGAGGAGTGATGTAGGACCGAGGCCTACTTATTTCAGTACACCAGCACAACTGGTCCATCAGGAGAATACATCTTATTTTTCTAGCAGCTTTGAGAGTGGTCTGCTTATGAGCCATTCATGCAGCGAAGAAGCCAAGTCATTCCCTGCAAAAACTTCCTCCACTGGGTCCCTTCTGTTCAGCCATCTCTTATGATGCTCACATAGAATCTACAAGCAGTGTATAGACAAAAGGACACAACAATTATTTATTGTTAATGCATGTAGGAGGTAACTAGGACTCATACTACTTGACTACACTTGAATATAGTCATTAAGCGTAAGACACCTGATGAGTACCTGCTGGCCAGACAGTCACCAGGCAGGTAGAGAAGACTGGCCTATGCTGCTCTTTGGAGGAGTGTGATCATCCCTCTCACTGAGTTGTCCTCTTCTGATTCTTTGCTCTTTCTTTCTTTCTTAAGGGTTTTATACTTATTTTGTCAGTATTTTCCTCTTGAGACCTAGAACTAGTAACTATTATCATATCAACAGCTAACAGTTTCTTTCTCCCTTGTGGGCAGGGATTTAGCTAATGTACTTTATCACACCTTAACAATATTTTTTTTTTCAGTAAGATTGAGACAATGTTGTACTGGATGAGGCCCTGGATCACAGATAGCTGAGCCTCCATGCTAAGGGTTACATTTGGCAGAGGTATCCGACACTATGTGCTAAAGAGCACATGTATGAACAGAAAGCACAGCTGGGGCCAACTGTGTTAGCCATTGATTGCCAATCTGTTAAAAGCTGGAGGCACAGGTAGTTCTTTAGCTCATATGGGGAACCTCCAGGGTACTTTACAGAAATGTTTTCTCCCCCAACAGGCCACTTTGTACTATAACACACCACCACCAAAAGCAGAAGATGTTTTTGTCCTGGATGTGGAAGCAGTACCAAGAGAATGTGACGGTGTCAGGAAAGAGCTTGACATCCATGTGTCTGTCAGGTATGAGATCCCTTGAGGCTCTTTCTTCAGTGGAAAGAAGTTGGAGCCCCAGTAGTATGTCCTGAACCCCATAAAAACCTCCTGTCTGTGGAGACAAAAACACAGGGGAAGACCATTCTTCTCCATAGATCCCAAAGAGATTGTGAAATGAGAATTAAGGCCCAGAGAAGCATGGGAAGACACTGGCACTGGCTTCCAGAACCACAGCAACTATCTCAGCCAGCATGGAGCAGCTCAGCAGCCCTCAGAGCAGTAGCAGTGAGATGGCAGCATTCCCCAGAGTCAGAGCTCCCCCCCATGGGAGCCTGGGCTGAACCAGCCCTGAGGTGCATTCTCCTGCAGTGTGAAACTCTGCTGGAACCTGACAGCAGAAACTCCTGTCTGGAGTTATCCTTATCCTTATTACACTTGCCTGCATCTGTCTAGGATGAGCGTCTTGGTCCATATTCTCCATGCCCTACTGTCCTGAAAGAGAACAACGCCAGCATTGCATCTCTTAGCCTGTAACATCAAAGATCACTTTCACCTGTTGGAGAGGGCAGCATGAAGGTTAATGATAACACATTTGCCACACAATCTGTCTCTATATTAAGCAAGTAGATGGGGGGCGATTTTTTTGTCCCTTTCTGCCATCAGTTAGACATGCTGTTGAGCTTTCACATCACTGTAGAACAGGCCAGCATTTGGAACTGTTCATTAGTATCTCCTAGAAATTCTGTGATGCCTTCCACATCTGATGTGCTTCTCTCCTGCCTTTTTTCAGTTACACAGGGGCCCGTGGGACCAGTAACATGGCTCTGATGGAGGTGGAGATGCTGTCAGGGTTCATTCCTGTGAGGAGTTCTTTGGAAGAGGTAAGACGTTTTCCTCTGGCCTTCCCTGAAGAGATTAAAATCTATTTTCCAGGGGTAGTTTAGCCAGAAATACCCAAACATCTAAGAACTGCTGGAGAATGGTAGGTACTCCTCTTGCTACAAATTAACTAAACTAAGCAAGTGCAGATGTAGTGAGCTATCTCACAAGGCATCTTTCAGCTTGCAGAACTGATTGTGCAGCTTTTTGTATTCAGTAGTGAGGATCACATACACTGTAAGAGGTTGGAGAGGAGCTGAGAAGCACCCAGGTAGAATCATCTGGGGTGCACTGAGACACTTTGCCATTGCCCATCTGCAGGGATACTCCATAAAGTGATGTGGAACCCCATAGAGTTCAATGGGACGCTATAGCTGGGGAACATAGGCCTTCCCCTGACTAGGCTAAGTGCTTTACTCAACAGTGGTTTACCAACAAATACCAAAATTGTTTTGAGACAACAGGGAAGGCCAACGAGCTGATGCTAACCAGGCTCACCTCTTGCCTTTCTATACAGCTGGAGAAGATACCCCTGGTGAAAAAGACAGAGATAAAACCAGACAAAGTCACAGTCTACTTGGAAGAGGTAAGAGGAAGACCACAGGTAGCTGCCCATTCAAGTAGTAGCAACTGCAGTCTTTTGCACTGGGACTCTCAGACATCAGGAATACAAAGCAGGCTAAAATTTTGGCAAAAAGAGGAAGAGGGTGGAAGAATCTGGAAAGACAGAGAAAGAAATCTCTGATGCAGAGGGAATAAAGTTGGTATGTAGGTGACTTTGAGATGGACAGTGCATTTCTGCTCACTTTTTCTCTCCAGCTGGGTGAGACTTCTCTGAAGCTTAACATCTCAGTGGAACAAGATGTTGAAGTACAGAACCTGAAAGCAGCAACAGTGCTTGTCTACGACTACTATAAGCCGGGTGAGATTTCACTGACATAGACAAAAGTAACAGAGTACCACCACTCAGACACAGTTCTATGTCTCTTATTCCCTTATCTCCCTTATTCCAGTGTGCTTCCTCCTGCAACTCCAAGCTTGGGTTTCCTCTGTACAAAACTTCCACATTCAGTTAGCAGAATCACTTGCTTTTCTGTTCTTGAGATGGGACTGCCTGGCACTATGATTATGTCGCGTTGTGCATGTGTTCAAAATGTCTGTTTTTTGACTTCCTATAGCTTCAAGCTACGTCTCTGTGGAAAGAAAGTTTCTCCGTCAATTTACCATGTCTTCTCCAGCTCCTTAGCTCTCTTGAAAATACGAGACATTTAAAATCAGTGTTACATACTTCCACTCTGACCCACCAGAAGGCAGAATTTAGTTCTATGCTTTTCATGTATAGTGTAATAATCCTACCATCCATTGGGTGCTGCCATGTCTCAGAGGAAGTAGGAAAATAATTTCTTACCCTTTAAAGCCTGAAATGAATTATCAGCACACAGAAAAGAGATCTTGGATTCATTTTGAGTGACTCTGATTATTTTGTGATCAGTATGAGCCAAAAAAGCAGATGGAACAGTAAGAGTTATTTTTTAAAAAAGAATTTGAGAACAAAATGGGAAAACTACTGCTGGAGCTTTAGAAAGCAGCACCACAGGCCTACATGTTGTATACTGAACCCTATTCTTGTTTTCCCTTCCACATAATGTCAAGAAGAGGAGGACATTTCTTAATTCAGCCTTTACAGAGCTAAATATTGTCACCTAATATGCTCTCTCTTTGCTATTCCATCCCGTACAAGATTTTTTGTGCTTAGTACAATCTAAAAATTGTTATCTGGCGTGAAAATACTAATTGTCAGTAAAAAAGCAGGGGTATCAGGACACGCTACTGAACGGTTCTCTATTTACAAAAATATCTTTGCATTGGAAGGTATCACAATGCATAAGAGGGTCTTTTACAGCTGTATGGGAGACATGCTGGGGAGACAGACTGCCTGACCTGCTGTAGACATTTTTCTGTTCCTGCAGTCATAGTGTGAAGAGTGAAAAATTAAGATAGTGAGATGGTTGTGTTAAAGAGAAAGAAGCTTGGCATTACCCTATCATGCAGTTCTGCAGCTCACCACCCTTTCTCTTTTGTTTCTACAGATGATCGTGCAGCAAGAGATTATGTTTTCCCTTGCAGTTCAGGTTAGTGTTAACAGGCCTCCAAGGTGGTAACAGCTGAAACAGAACAGAGGACTGGTGGTAAGCAAGCAAACAGCCCACCTCTGCTCTGTATTTAATTCCATCATGTTCTTGGACTGCAGGCTGAATTGGGATCACAGAATCACAGAATGGTTTGGGTTGGAAGTGACCTTAAAGGTCATCTAGTCCCACCCCCCTGCCACAGGCAGGGACACCTTCCACTAGCCCAGGTTGCCCAAAGCCCCGTCCAGCCTGGCCTTGAACCCTGCCAGGGAGGGGGCAGCCACAGCTGCTCTGGGCAACCTGTGCCAGGGCCTCACCACCCTCATAGTAAAGAATTTCTTCCTTATATCTAATCTAAATCTACCCTCTGTCAGTTTAAAACCATTACCCCTCATCCTATCCCTACATGCCCTTGCAAAATGCCCCTCCCCAGCTTTCCTGTAGCCCCCTTTAAGTACTGGAAGGCCGCTATAAGGTCTCCCTAGAGCCTTCTCTTCCCCAGGCTGAACAACCCCAACTCTCTCAGCCTGTTCTCACAAGGACCTCCATTGGACCCACTCAAGCAGGTCCATGTCCTTCTTATGTTGGGGCCCCGGACCTGAACATGGTAGTGTAGGTGGGGTGTCATGAGAGTGGAGTAGAGGGGCAGAATCCCCTCCCTTGCCCTGCTGGCTACATTTCTCTTGATGCAGCCCGGGACACAGTTGGCTTTCTGGGCTGCGAGTGCACACTGCTGGGTCACAGTCAGTTTTCCATCCACTGATACCTCCAAGTCCTTCTCTGCAGGGCTGCTCTCAATCCACTCCTCACCCAGCCTGTATTTGTCTTTGGGATTGCCCAGACCCATGGGCAGGACCTCGCACTTGGCCTTGTTGAACTCCATGAGGTTTGCATGGTCCCACCTCTCCAGCTTGTCCAGGTCCCTCTGGATGGCACATCCCTTCCCTCCAGTGTGTCACTGCACCACACAGCTTGGTGTCATCATGGTGAACTTGCAGAGGGTGCCTTGATCCCACTGTCCATGTCACCAACAAAGATGTTAAACAGCGCCGGTCCCAACCCTGACCCCTGAGGAACGCCACTCCTCACTGCTCTCCACTGGGACATGGAGCCATTGACCGCAACTCTCTGAGTGTGACCATCCAGTCAATTCCTTACCCACCGAGAGTTCCATCCATCAAATCCATGTGTCTCTAATTTATAGTCAAGGAGGTCATGTGGGACAGTGTCAAATGCTTTGCACAAGTCCAGGTAGATGACATCAATTGCTCTTTCCTTATCCACTAGTGCTGTAACCCCATTGTAGAAGTCCACCATATTTGTCAGGCACAATTTGCCCTTAGTGAAGCCATGTTGTCTGTAACCAATCACCTCCTTATTTTCCATGTGCCCTAGCATAGTTTCCAGAAGGATCTGCTCCATGGTCTAACTAGGCACAGAGGTTATGATTAACTGGCCTGTAGTTCCCCAGGTCCTCTTTGTTTCCCTTTTTAAAAATGGGGGTTATGTTACCCCTTTTCCAGTCAGTGAGAAATTTGCTGGACTGCCATGGCTTCTCAAATATGATGAAGAGTGGCTTAGCCACTTCATCCACCAGTTCCCTCAGGACCCGTGAATGCATCTCAACAGGTCGCACGGACTTGTGCACCTTCAGGTTCCTTAAATGGTCTCAAACCTGATCTTCTCCTACAGTGGGCAGTTCTTCCTTCTCCCAGTCCCTGCCTTTACCTTCTGCATCTTGGATGGTGTGGCTGGAGCACTACTACTGGATCTACTGTAGTAGTTGTAGGCACAGTTTCTAGTCCAGGTATAATCTCAGTGCAGACCAAGGAAGGTTAAAAGGATCTATTTTTATCCCATTTCTCACATACGCACTCCTTGCAGCATCCCAAATCTGAATGCAACTGGAAATGCCTATGTCAATGACAAAAAGATGTTGTAACTCATCCCTTAAGATCTCTTAGTCCTTAGATAGATTCCTAAAAATTCACCAGCAATTTCTTTGTCTTTTCTTGTTCTTTCTTTCCACAGATGTCTCGAAGAAGGATTCCTACTAGAATGCCCTGGTCCTGCAACCAGTACTCGTATTTTTCTGCGTGCATAAGAAAACTTCAATGCTCTGGTCTTCCTCTTCCCTGCTGTGTTGGATCCACCCTATTTCCTTTGATCTATGCCCTAAATTTCTATGTGAAACCTGACTTTATACACAGTAGTCTGGGATCAAGTGAAATAAAGTATGTGGAACTTGAAAAGAAAGCAGCTAATTGACAGCTGATGAAGTCCACACAGATTTGAATGCCTGAAGAAGAGAGAAACATTGCTTAGGTCATGGTTACATGCTTTGCATTTGGTCACCATAGTGGCCTCTCCTCCCCGAGACCCATCTCTGAGCTACCTTCTCAACTGAGTTAACACAACAGTTTGACTGCAACCAAACTCCAAGCAAAAAAAAAAAAGCCATTTTTAACCCCGATCTCAACCCACTACATGGCCCTGTGAATCATCTTTTTGTCACAACTGAAAAGTAGGAACAGGCAAGGGGAGGCTAAGGGAGAACTACTTTACCAGCTCTTCCAGACAGTACTGTATAACAGTGCCTTATGCAGGGAGGCCATGAGCCTGAAATAACATCCCCTCCAAATTCACTACATTTTTTGTCTGGCCTCTTGTTTGCTTCCATTTCTTATGTCAAGCAGGAGTATTTTAGAAACTCAAAAAGGGCATAATCATGCAGATCTCACTTTCAGGTCCCAGTTCCATTAGATCAAGTGCTCCACAATTTTCTTTCAATGCCTAGTGCTTTAAAAGCCAGTCTGTCAAGCCATACAAAAGAAGGATTAGATCTGAATGTGTTTATGGGGCTGTTTTTTCTATGGCCTGTGCTTCCTTTTTTGGGAGCAAACATTTGTAATCTCTTTTTAGTGATTCAGCCACCTTTCATAAAAAGAAATAGCAATTACGAGTCAGTGATGGACTCTGTGTGCATGCAGGACATGCAAAGCTAAAGCTGCTGTAGAAGTTTAATGCAGACAGAAGACATTAATAGATGTTGTTATTATGTAGTGAACCGTCCATGATTGTCCTGAAGTTGTGGCACTTTCACCTTCCTGATGACACGGCTAATAGCTATTGATGTCTTTACAGCTTCCTCCATATACCTGCATAGTAGAAGGAGATCAAGCAGCTAGCTAAGAAATCCTGAGAAAGCCAGCAGATGAAGATCATGTGCGTATACTATGGATATAGGGTAGACTAACACTTGTGTAAATGACTGCTGCATGTCACCTTCTTGTAGTGCCAGGACTGGGGTAGTACCTGAATGTGGAGCGGGCATGCTCCTGGAGCTGGGGCTAGAAAAGGATGATTTTCCCTCAAGACACAGACTGAGCAACAAACAGTGCCCAGAAAGATGAAGAAAAGGGCCTACATGTCTGAAAGAGACCAGGAGGTGCAGAAGAGCCCTTGCGGTTGACACAGTGTGGCTAGGATGAGTGGCAGAGGCAGGCAGAGACCTTTCAATCCACATCCCACCTGTAGGGTTGCTCCAGCTGCGGACCTGAATTCAGCTGGAGACAGCAAAAAAAGATACTGCAATTCTGTATGTAGTTAACCACTTGGACTGTACCTGCGAATTCACCTCTTCTGCCTCGTAGGGGGCTTGCCCACCACCTTTACTGCTGGTGCCTGAAAATCGCAGTGTGCATGAATTCTCTCTGCACACACCAGCTCCTGATTTACTGGGAAAATATCCTTGGAATCCAAAAAGGACAAAAACTCATTATGTACCCTGGCTGTGAAAGAGGGTGATCACAGGCTGAGAAAGAATAGGACATACCTTGATAATAGTTTTAGGGCTCTGAACAGCACTATTTAAACCAAACAACCCCCTCCAAAATTCAACAGTAGAAATTCCCCTTACCTGGCTAAAACTAACCAGCCCTGACCCAGGAAAAAAACCTCTTCTAACCATTCCTCTCCCTCTTGGAAGTGAGGAACCTGAAGCAGAGGGGAGAAATGAGAAGAAAGGAGGAGAGGGGGAGGTCAGGGACTTGGGTCTGGTGGGCTGTGTGAGGAAGGGAGACAGGGCCCTCTTGGGTGAGTAGGGACATTGAGATGGAGCTCTAGGTGTTGAGGAACCCAGGGGCTTTCCCCACCCTCTGCCAGTGTGGTCAGCCTTCTCTTCTCACAGCCCTGGTTGCCAAGCTGCCTTAAGACCTCTGCCTGGTCTTAGTGTCTGGGCCTTCACCACCACTCTGCACCCTGACTTCCCCTAGTCCCTTCCCTCCTGTTCTCACATATCTCATTTTCTCCTTCCCTTTATTACCTGCACCAAGATCCTCTCTCTCTCAGGGTGTCTCTGAGACCCACGAACATTCCCACAAAGGCTCCAGTCCACCCCGTGCTCCTGGGACACTCCTCTGCCCAGTAGTGCTCCTTGTCAACCCCTACATGCAGCTGAGGGGCAATTATTCCTGGTTCTCCACTTCCCCTTCTCACTGCCCTTCTCCTCCACTGCCCACAGCATCACCCCAAGTCCCAATCCCCACTGCCCACGTGGTCTGCCTAAACTGCTGCCAGAGCTGCTTGTCCCAAGAACTTTTGTTCCCAAAAAGGTCCCTGTCCCTTCCAAAATTCTCTGCCTGCCCAAGCATTCTGTCCACTCCTGTATTTCTTCTCTTTTCACTTTAATGATTGGCAAATCTGTCTTTCCCTCGTTATCTAACCCTCCTGTCCACTGTATATGCCTCTTCCCATCTGTGCAAGACCCTTTCTTACTTTTCGTCTTGTTTTCTGTTCTGCTTTTGTTTTCTGTTACTTCATCTGTTACTTTGTATTTCTCCATGTCCTCTTTAGACAAGTTTTTCATGCATAGGGCACATTTCTGCAGTGGGTATCCCTTTCATTGTCAGCTCTTCCTCTGAATTGTAACGGTCCCCATTTTTGTTTGCTTTGTTTGTGTGCCCAGGCATCACACATTGAACAGTAAGTTCAGTCCTAACTACAC